TTCAGTAGGCGACAAAGTCGTTTCACGACCAACGAATTGAGTAGTGGATGGAATAGCCTCACTAAATTCTGTCGTTACTTTATGTGGGACAGAACTAGTTCTAAGTTCTTGAGTAGTTGTTTCGGCATATTTAGTCGTTGTTCCACTCTCAGTAGGACTGAATGAGCTTCGTTCAGTACCAAATGTTTTTTCTGTTGGTGATAAAGTGGTTTCGTAATCGACAAATTGAGTGGTCGAAGGAATCTCATGCTCACTTGGAAGAGTCGTCGCTCTTGGAGGAGTACCGGTGCTAGTTTTCATTTGCTCAGTAGTTGTATCGAAATATTTGGTTGTTTTACCACCTTCAGTTGGAATGAATGAACTTTGTTCAGTGGCAGATGTCTTTTCTGTTGGCCGCTTAGTCGATTCATCATCAAAAAAGTGAGTCGTAGTCAACATTTTTTCTTCACCAGCAATTGTGGTCATTTTTGGTACGAATGTGCTAGTTTTGTATTTCTCAGTGGTTGAATCTACATACTTAATAGTTGTTCCACTTTCAGTGCCGAAAGATTTGTCTGTTACCAAAACAGTTGTTTCATGGTCAATATAATGAGTGGTCGAAGGAATTCTGTCTTTACTTGCCAGAGTAGTAACTTTTGGAGTGAAACCGCTCGTTTTAAATTGATCAGTAGTGGTATCGACATATTTCTTCGTTGTTCCACTCTCTGTTGGAACAAACGAACTACGTTCAGAAACGAATGTTTTCTCTGTTGGCAACATAGTCGTTTCATGATCAATAGATTGAGTCGTAGGGAGGTCTTCTTCACTAGGAATTGTGGTGGCTTTTGACGTGAGTGTGCTAGTTCTGTATTGTTCAGTGGTGTGTTCTGTAACAACTGATCTATCTGTTGGAGAAATTTTTGTTTCGTGATCGACTGGGATAGTCGTCTCTTTCGGAGCATAGCTACTTGTTTTGAATTGATCTGTGGTTGTGTCAACATATTTAGTTGTTCTTCCACTTTCTATTGGAATATGTTCAGTGACAAATGCCTTCTCCGTTGGAGGCAGAGTCATTTCGCGATCACCTGATTGATCGGTCGTAGTGAACATTTTTCCTTCGCTCGAAAGAGTTGTCATTCTTGACGGGAGAGTGCTAGTTCTTACTTGCTCAGTTGTTGTATCAACAGATTTTGTAGTTTGGCCACTTTCAGTTGGAACAAACGAACTTCGTTCGCTTGCAAAAGTTTCTTCCGTTGGTAATATTGTTGATTCATGTTCGATCGATTGTGTAGTGTATGGCATTTTCATTCCAGTCGGAAGAGTGGTTTCTCTCGGAGCAAAACTGCTCGTTTGGAATTGTTCAGTGGTTGTGTCAACATGTTTAGTTGTTGTTATACCTTCAGTTGGAACTAATGACTTTTCCGTTGGCAACAAAGTTGTTTTACGATCAATGTATTGGGTGGTAGTGAACATTTTCTCGTCACCACCAACCGTGGTCAATTCATCACCAGGAAGAGTAGTCACTTTATAACCAGCTGTGCTAGTTTTCGTTTGTTCGGTGGTTATATCGAACTGTTTTGTAGTCCGACCACCCTCAGATGGAGCGAACGAGCTTTGCTCTGTGACAAATGATTTTTCGGCTGGCAATATGGTAGTTGCATGACCAGTCTGAGTGATCGGAGATGTCCTTTCTTCACTTGGAAGAGTTGTTGCTTTCGGAAGGTGAGTGCTTGTTCTGAACTGTTCCGTGGTCGTATCGATATATTTTGTGGTTTTACCACTTCCAGATGCGGAAGGCAAATTTTGTTCTGTAACAAATGCTTTTTCGGTTGAGGTAAATATCGTTTCATGATCAACGAATTGTGTCGTGGAAGACATTCCATCTTCATCTGAGGTAGTCGTGTATTTTGGAACAAAAGTACTAGTCTTGAATTTCTCAGTAGTACTATCAATATATTTTTTCGTTGTTCCTTCGGTTGGAGCCAACGAACTCTGCTCAGTTGCAAATGCTCTATCCGTTGGTAAAAGCGTTGGTATTTGATCGATACTTTCAGTGCTTGTAAAGAATCTTCCCTCACCCACACTAGTTGTCTCTTTTGGAATAAAACTGCTTGTTCTGAATTGCTCAGTTGTGGTATCGAAATATTTCGTTGTTCTTCCACTCTCTGTTGGTGCAAACGAGCTATGCTCTGTGGAAAATGACTTTTCTGTTGACATAAATGTGATTTCATGATCGACAGATTGAGTAGACGACGAAAAGTTTACATCGCTTGAAAGAGTGGTTTCTTTCGAAACAAGAGTACTAGTTCTAA